TCTATTTGGTATCTTTAAATCACAGGTTAGGGATTTTAACTTACAGCTTTGGCTATAGACATGAATGAAGAACAGACACTGCTGAATCTTCACTTGAATGCTCAAGTTTCATGGGGTGGGGTGGGGGGGGATAGCTTTGCAACCCAAATTTAAGAGAAGCAGGAGGAAAACAAACAGCATTTAAGAGGCTGCTTTCCACCATTTCAGACTGACAGAAAAGCAGCTAGCTGCTCCTTTAAATTAGCAATGGTTAATTCCAAGCAGAAAAAAAGATGAGCTATGAAGAGCAGTAAGAATTATAAAGGAAAAATGTAATTTTTCCCCCCAACTATTTGCGGAGATGGGAAAGACTTGAAGGGGCTGGGGTAGGACAACGTGAGTAAACAGTTTATATGTTTACCTGGGGCTTGTCTTACGCTTTGCTGCTGCCAACCTAACTATGTAGTACTCACAGTTTTTTTAAGTATAATATGTAGAGGACAGGCCTTAATGTAATTGTTTTTCATATCTTTTGTTAGCTAAATCCATATCACTAGGTATTGCCAATTAACAAATGAGGCACAACTCAGATATATATGGAATGGCTTAAGGTCAAGAAAGGCAATTTGAAAGGGGAGAGAAACGCTATTGCCATATCCTACAACATCCACCTTGTCTATACGTGCATATGGTCACATACATACATTTTCTGACAACTATTCTTGATATTCATGGGAATGTCGGAAATCTCCACTGGATGGTCATTTAGCTAAGAGCTCCTTGATATGTTAATTACTGATTGGTATCTAGTCACACTTTTGTAGAAGGGTAGGTAGCAATTTTCTTTGTTTTTTTTCTTTTTCAACATTAATGTTCAAATTAATCGTGGCCAGGTAGAATTTTCTGCAGAAAGACAAAGTGTATGCCTTAAGGATAACAGCAAAGCAGAGGACAGAGAAGTCCTGCGAACTGGCTTAGTGTTCCCCTGACCTCTTTACCTAGCAATTCTGCATTAGGTTATTTTCATCATTCAGAACCTTTTCTGTTGAACAACCTAAACTCTGTTATACATTTTCTTTTGAGATCAATTTTGATTTATTACACTTGTCCTTCCTTTCCTCAGTAATAACATTTTTAATATTCTAATAAGGTATTTTCTACTAATTTTTTGTTCTATCACTATAAATTTTATTAGTACCATAAAATCTATAAAATGCTCTTTAAAACGTATGTAACTGGTATTAGAATTTATTACTTTTAGAATATGATATTGCCAAAGGAAATCTTAGTTCACGTTTAGAAGGCATGTGAGTTACAATATTCTAGTGTTGTTGTGAAAGCATAGCCAAATCTACCTCTTCTTTTTCCTTTGTAGGAATATCAAGATCATACTGAGCAAATATTTACTGGTAATTCTTAAATGACTATTTAACTTTAAAGAAAAATGCTGATTTAGGAAACAATTTTAAGATCACATTAATAACTATGACAGTGTTAGGTTGTCATCTTTTATTTCTAAATTATTTGTACCTCCAGTCCAAGAGACTGATAGCAGTCCTCAAAGGAACTTACTAGGAGAATAATGACGACTGACACCCACATGCTGTTAAAAATGTACTAAGGTTTCAAAACTGCTACAGAAACCAGACAATGAGTTCAAGATGGTGAGTTATCACCTGAATTAAAATCAAGGCACTATGGGGTTTTTTTCCCCTCAAATAACCCTGAATCATTTCTGACTAAAAGAAGCATTGAAATTGTGAAGGATAATAAAAAAGATTTCAACAAATCCCAAAAGTTAAAATTCCCATGATTGAGAATGTTAAAAAGTGCCTAAGATGTTTTGTGTGCAAATTTTACCTCTATAACTGAAACATTCTTGAAATTACTTTCAGGCTTGTTGAAAACCATTTACACAAATATTTCCAACTATGAACTATATCAAAATATGCAATCAAGACTCCCAACCACCTAAAATAAAGCAGTGCAAATCCTATTTTCAAACATAATTGAAAAACAATGAAATGAGGGATATTTCTGAATAACTTGAAAATCCTGTTGTATCAATAATTTAACCTGAAAAAAAAAAAATCCATTCCCAGCAGCACATCATACCTCACTGAACAAACTGTGACATCACAGCCAAAGTATGAACAAAAAAACTTGTGCCCCGGAAAAGTGAATAGAACACTACTGTGTTGTAAACAAAAGGAAAAACAGAGGATGGATCAGTTTGCACATGGTGTCAGAATCTCAGGAAAGGTGCTCATACCTGTAAGGAAGAGATAACGCTTTCATGCAGCATACAAAATGTTTTGCTTTCTCTTCTTTTATCCAGACATACACATATTTTTACATCATCTGTACATAGAGAATTTGAACCTACACAACATTCTGAAAGTAATTACTGCTCCATCATTATCTGAAAAGGGGGAAGGTTTGGGGAGGGGGTAGCTACCAAGTCTACTGGACTGTCTTCATGGCATCATTGTAAGCAAACCCCTGACATGGCAGTGGTATGTCCTCTCTAACACTTGATAAGAGGCACAGAACCACTAAAAGTTACTAACATTGTTAGTGCCTTTCTGATTCACTGGAGGTCATTTCATAGCTGAGCTTAACATTTGGCAATATATTCTTTTTCCATCAAAAAATATCCGGGCAACTAAAACACTGTCAGAATTGGCTATGCCCCTATGATTACCTCCTGCTGGCTGGTATTTAATGTACATCTGTAGCACTAGGCAGCATTTCTCTGCGAACTAATTCCAGGAACTAGAACACTCAATACTGCATCTCATGAAACTGCTGGAACTTTTCCTCTTTTCCTCAGGTCATTTGAGTAACTCTTAATGGGCCATCCCTTTCCTCCCTTGATGTCAGAGAGGAAGTGCATGTGCTACTGTGGTTGAACCTTGGAAGGGTCGGGCAAGCTGTCAGTTCTGTGCCGGTTGAGTTGCTGCTGTTGCTGAGACTGATGTTGCTGGTGATGTGACTGAGGGAAGGTGCTCTGTTGTAGAGGAAATGCAGCAGAGAGGATGAGCTGAGTTGAGGGATTCCCATGGAGCAACCTAGAAGTCTAAAAAACAAATGCATTATGCAGCATTGCTTTACTCCCTTTATGCCACCCACATAAGATTTACCCACACTCTCCCATCCATAGGGACAAAATCCTTAAAATTCTACATAATGCATATCATTTTTGCTCTTTGGTTTAAAAACAAATGCATTATGCAGCACTGCTTTACTCCCTTTATGCCACCCACATAAGATTTACTTACACTCTCCCATCCATAGGGACAAAATCCTTAAAATTCTACATAATGCATATCATTTTTGCTCTCTGGTTTAAAAATTATACTTTGGAAAATGCTTATGAGGGTATGAGAGAGTTTCATTTTTTAAAGGGATCTAAGCTGCAGATTTTATGGTATAGAAAGCAATCTATATCTTGAGCCAAATCACGCATGTTCTTTCACTTTCTGTCCTAAAGACCCATATTTTAAATTATAAAATTTGAGTATAGTTATGACTCTATGAAAAACAAATACTCTGAGGCCAAACAGACAATGCCTTCTGCACACAGGTTTGCTCAGCTGGTTAGAGCACCACACAGTTTTAAGTGGCCAGGAGCATGGGCCCAGAGGTAGACTGGGGCTGCCCTACTTACCACATGTGTGACCTGGTCAACTGTTTACTTCTCTGGGCCTCAGTTTCTTTCTTTACAAAATAGGATTAACAGTGCCTACCACATTGAGTTCTTAATAAAGATTAAATATTAATATTATTTAAAAGCACCACAAATATGAAGGCAAAGTTGGAGCCATAGGTCTCATAAGAGGCAGTGTGGTATAAAGAAAAACAAAATTGAAAAAGGTACAGGGTTTGCAGGCAGAAGCCCTGCATTTGAGTTTTGCTCTGCCATTGTAAGCATGCGACTTTGGGCAAGACTCAAATATATGAGCGTCAGTTCCTTTCACTAAATTTTTACTTCTGACATACTGTTCATTATAACTCTCAGATACAAAAAAACACAATGGAAAGAGAGTGAATTTTTATAGTGAAAGTCCTTCCCATTACTGAGAGTACAACTTGTTGCAGGGTTCTTAATTTCAAAATGGATCTGTGGTGGGCGGTTTTTGCAAATGTATATGAAAGAAACATGCAAGATCACACGCACAGAAGAATAAATCCTTGACAACCCTTAAAGACTACTACACTTTGTCAAGGACCTTCAGAGTTTTCTTTCTCTGTTATTAGGAAAAGCTGTGTAAGGCAAAGACTTCAGTATACTTATGAGCCTTATAAGTTTATAACAGGAGCATGCTTTGGAACTAGGTATTACACGATTTACAAAAGCCAAATTGTTCACTACCTACATACAAATGCATTTATGAGGGCTACTGCCTATCTTATTTCTTTGTGGGTCCTATGTCTTTGGGATGCCATTTTATTTATTTATTTATTTTCTGAGAATGTTCATTATTATTATTTTTTTGAGATTAAGTTTTGCTCTCGTTGCACAGGCCTGGAGTGCAATGGAATGATCTTGACTCGCCACAACCTCTGCCTCCCAGGTTCAAGTGATTCTCCTGCCTGAGCCTGCTGAGTAGCTGGGATTACAGGTGCACGCCACCATGCCCGGCTAATTTTTTGTGTTTTTAGTAGAGACGGAGTTTCACCATGTTGGTCAGGCTGGTCTCAAACTCCCAATCTCAGGTGATCCGCCTGCCTTGGCCTCCCAAAGTGCTGGGATTTCAAGTGTGAGCCACCGCACCCGGTCAAGAATGTTCATTCTTTAAAGGTCTTTGTTCCTTGACAAACTTAGAAGACTGAGATGTTAAGGCAAGTCCTTTCCTTTTTTAAGCTTTTGCTTAATTCTTATTGGATATATTTTCCCTACTTAATAATTTAGAACTCGTTTTAAATTCTTGTTATGACGTTATTTGTAATAGTAGCTACCCCAGTTTTATCTGCAGCACAGGCTTAGGGTCTAAGAGACTGTTATGACTCAGATAATTAGGAAACTAGCCTGTTTCAGTTTTCCGCATCACAAAGACAAGGATTATATTTCGACCACGACACAAAGGGTGACAAGTTAAGACTGTATTTATGCCTGAATATAGAGTACAAAAATCACATCAAGTGTTATATAACTTAAATTGATGGTACGTGCTTGGCCTAGATAAAGTGGTCTCTAGTACACATCCAGGTTAGCCTCCATTCAAAATTGCTCCTAGAAGGAGAAAAGTTGGATTTCTAGTATAGATCCTGAGGTCCAGGTAAGGGTTTTGTTGATTTCTCTGTTGAGGATCCTGCCCTAGTGACTTTCTTCTCTATCTATAGATAAGGAGAGCCTGTCTGATTTACCTCCATTTCTGTGTCTCTATTTTGGCTAATCCAAATGTCTATTACATTTGTCAATATAGTGGTCACAAATAACAGCCAGCTATGTGCCTTCTCTTTTATTCGGTGATTTGCAAGCATTATTATTCCATGAGGTGTTAACTACTATGACCTCCACGTTACAGGTGATGTTTAGCAAGAGTAAGCAACCTTCCAAGGGTCACGCAGTACATGGTGCAGCAGTGACTCAACCCAAGACCAGGTGGACTTTACAGCTTAAGTTGTTAGCTATGATATATACTACATTTCCACAGTATTTCTCCTCTGGTATTAATTTATAACTGAAAACTTGTAATAAGATTGAATTAAACAAAATAATTTAAGATAATACCTATACTAGTAAAAAGAAATCCCTGCTCTGTATACAGAATTTATGGTTGGCTAGAAAAAAAGAGGAGGAAAGAGGTGCCTTTGCTTAAATTCCAGAAACTCTAGCCAGAGACTGAGAAAACAGGTGGGCAGGAAGTAGGCCACTCACTCTATCCAGCAGTTCTGATGATTGCATATGCCCAATGGCAGGATTAAAGTCTTCCCAAGACTAGCTAGGGAAGAAAAAAATCACCAACCAGGACAAGCTTTCTATCTTTGTAGAGATTTAAACTGTACAATAAGCTTTTGTGAATTTTTTACTCACAAAACCGTTCACTTAATACTTAATTTCGTTACATGAAAGTAAATGGGTTTGACGCAGCTTCCCCATGGAAAGAATTACCTGTAAAAACTGTTGCGGTGGCTGGGTCAGCTGAGCCTGAGATGGTTGCTGAACTGAAGTGAGCTGCTGCTCCTGGGAGCTCTGCTGCTGCTGCTGTGTTACTGACAATGTCTGTGACTGTTGCTGTTGTGTAGCAAAAGTAGGATATGCAGTCACCACCTGGCCCATGAGCATAGTACTAGGTACCATGACTGCCCCACAAGCTACAGGAGCAGTCACTAATTTGGTCACAAGTTGTTGACCTTGAGAAAATCTGTTAGAAGAAAGAAGGAAAAAAAAAATGGAGTCCAAAGTACAAGGTATACATCATAAAAGGCAGTGGAGTGAATACTTATCTAAGATAATATCCAATTATAATGCCAATTTAGTTTTTCAAAGTCTATATATTCCTATTTTGTTTCATTTTAAAAGATTCCCTTTGGCATAACAGTAAAACAAAAAATTCATACAGCAAAATCAACGTATAACAAAAATACAAAATGTTTTTGGAATATCCGCATTCAAATGAAGTTAGATCCTTACCTCACATCGTAGACAAAAATTAATTTGAAATGGACCAAAAACCAAAACATAAGAGCTAATGCTATGAAACTCTTAGAAGAAACACAGGGGAAAAGCTTCATGACTTTAGATTTAGCAATAATTTCTGGGATATGATACCAAAAATATAGGCAACAAAAGAACAGATAAACTGGACTACATCAAATTAAAAATTTGTGAATCAAAGGGCACTATCAACAGAGTAAAAAGGTAACCCACAGATGGGAGAAAATATCTGCAGATCATCTATCTGATAAGGGATTAATAACCAGAATGTCTAAGAGCTCCTTCAACTCACTAACAATCAACCCAATTAAAAAAATGGGCAAAGGTCAAACCTCAATAAACATTTTTTCAAAGAAGATACACAAATGGCTAACAAGCACATGAAAAGGTGCTCAACATCACTAATCATTAGAGAAATGCAAATCAAAATGACAAGACACTACTTTATACCCATCAGGACGGCAATTATAAAAAACAAACAACAGAAAATGACCAGTGTTGGCAAGCAAGTGGAAAAACGCTTGTGCAGTGCTGGTGGGAATGTAAAAATGGTGCAGCCACTATGAAAAACAGTATGCAGTTCCTCAAAAAAGTTACTATAGAATTATTATATGAAGGAATTTCACTTCTGCTTATATACCACCCCCCCCAATGAAGGCAGGGACTCAAAAAGATATTTGTACACCCATAACCATAAGCAGTGTTATTCACAAAAGCCAAAAAGTGGAAGTAACCCAAGACTCCATTATCAGAATGAATAAGCAAAACACAGTAGAGTGGAATATTACCTAGCCTTAAAAAGGAAAGAAATTCTGACAATTTGCTGTAACATGGATGAACCCTGAGAACATTATCCTAAGTGAAATAAGTCATTCACAAAAGGACAAATACTGTATGATTCCATTTATATGAGGGACTTGGACAGAAAATAGAATGGTGGCTGCCAAGCACTGGAGAGAGAAGAATGGGAAACTTGTATAATGGATATGGAGTTTCTGTTTAGGAAGATGAAAAAATTTCTGGAGATGGTTAGGGGAGATGGTAACAATCATGAGAATCTACTCAATGACAATGAACTGTATACTTTAAAATGGTTAACAAGGTAACTTTTATGTCATTTATATTTTTCCACAATAAAACATTTAAAAAATATATAAAAAATAAACCTTTTTCTTTTCATAAAATTACTAGGTACCTGGAATCAGATATATGTGACACATGATTTATGTTCATGAATAAACATAAAGCTATCCTAATTTTTTTAAACTCTAGGATTATAGAAGAAATTACACAAAATTGTATCTTAGAAATTTGACATTCTAATAGTGAATAAAACTCCTCAATTTATGAATTTATCAATGCAGCAGTGTCCACTGGGCTAAAATTCATTATTTTTTCCCTCTTTCCCTGCTTCCTTTTGTTTTTTGAAGTGAAAGAACAATAACAACAACAACAAAAAAAGATGCTTCTTTGTAAACAATATTATTTCCATTTGCCTTTTCTGTGAGATGAAGTTAGTTTATAACACTGGCCATTTCAGTGAGCTATGACCCTAATGTAGATGTGACATGACATAACTGCACTTACAAACTGTTTAAAGTATATAACAATATTACACTTAGTACAGAGACATACTTTATTATTTATGTTCCACAAGACAAAATAATTTCATTTCAAATCCATGTCAGATCTTGAAAATAAAATACTGTATTTTATATACTATACAACCAAATACTTTAATGCAAAACAACAAAGAATTAAAATTATCCATATTAAGCCCAAAGAAAAGAAGTATTTACAAAGTACACTTAGTCACAGAAGTGCCAAGTGCTGATTTCTCTGTAATCTTAAATGAAATTAGTACTTGAATCAGCCCATGGTTCACTGGTAAATGTGATAAGAACATTTTCTTTAATCTGCTTGCACGTAACTCACACTTCTGCAGCTTTGTATACACAGCTCCCTCTGTCCAGAATGCCTCCCTAGATTCTGTGCCACACCCACACCCAAAGCAAAGCTCTTGAAGAGTCAGGGCAAGTATCTCTGCCTGTGTGAAGCTTTCCTGACCATACCTTTATTCACCTGCTTGCCTCAACCCATGGAACTACTCACTTCCTCCTTTCTAAAGACCTCTAAAGTATTCATTACACCAAACAATACTGATTTGTTTAAGCTTTTACTAGTCTGGTCTTTCCTTTGGGAAAGGAATGATGCCATATCATCTAGGTAGGCCATCAAATGTTTGCTAAGATATGGTTTCTGTCCCCACTCAAAAGACAGATGTTCAGGGAAATGCAACTTAAAACCACAATGAAATAACACCTTACTCCAGCCAGACTGGCCATTATTAAAAAATCAAAACAATATAGGTTGGCACAGATGTGGTGAAAAGTGAACATTTACACACTGCTGGTGGGAATGTGAGATTTCTCAAAGAACTAAAAATAGATCTACCATTTGACCCAGCAATGCCATACTGGGTATCTACCCAAAGGAAAAGAAGTCGTTGTATCAAAAAAGACACCTGTGTACATATGTTTATCACAGTACAATTCATAATTCCAAAGATACGGAATCAACCTAAGTGCCCATCAACCAATCAATGGAGAAAGAAAATGTGGTACGTATCTACCATGGACTACTACTCAGCCACAAAAAAAGAATAATGTATTTTGCAGCAACTTGGATGGAGCTGGAGGCCACTATTCTAAGTGAAGTAACTCAGGAATGGAAAACCAAATCCCATATATTCTCACTTGCAAGTGGGAGCTAAACTATGGTTACAGCAAAGGCATACAGAGTGATATAATAACAAGACTTTGGAGGAGGATGGTGGTGGTGAGGGATAAAAAACTACATATCGGATAGAATGTGTACTCCTCAGGTGATCAGTGCACTCAAATAAGTCACAGATGGTTGTTTTTCCAGAGCAGTCCACAAAACCTTCCTATAATACATGTTTAAAGCACTTGAGCTTTGAAATCAAGACATCAATGTCTGTGTTCAGAACACCCTCCCTCATCACCTTAACTAGCTATAGACCCCTTGACTAATTACTAAAAACCCACTTTTTTCTTATCTGGGAAAATAAAAGAAGACCCTTATGTACATTTTCTTTTAATAAATGAAAATTTGAGATAATGTATTTTTCTGAGCATTTAACAAACTGAAAAAAGGTAAGTGACCCTAACCATTGTTACTACATGGCATAGCATCTATATTGAAAAGACAAAAGCTTCACAGTCATAAGCCTTTTGTAAGAGTGTGCTGTAGAATTTGTATTCTACAATATTTTGTAGCATATTTTTGGACAAGAAACAAAATTTGTTGTTATCCTCTAATTATGAAGTCTTCAAACAATGAATACGTTCTGTAAATTTAAGAATACTGGCTGTAGTGAGCAACACATTAAAATCACATTAAAAAAATCAAATTACTGTTTTCTAATCAGTTTACAATTTTGAAAATAACAAACGAAATATGACAACTACCTTATCTGCCTGTCCTGAGTGAACGTAGTTACGGCAGCACTCTGGGTGCTGTTTTGTGGCATACTGGATGGAATCTGGACCATGCTTCCAGCGGCAGGCTGAGAAATCACCATAGTGTTATACAGTGGGGCTGTAAGAGTGCTCTGTGTCTGACTGGGTAGAGATGTTTGCTGACTATGCCCACTCAGAACATTCTGTTGACTCTGTTAAACAAAAGGGAGATTTTATAGACAGATTAACTGAAAATAATTACTTGGGAATTATGCTAGAACTCATCACTCTGACAATATGACAGAGAAAGAAGCGGCAGGATATATTACTCTGGGAGAAATATAACCACAAAGGAATGACTTGTAGTAACTGAGAATTAATTAGTCTTAAATATCTGCTTGAAGGCAAGCTTTGACTTTAGAATGGAGTGTGATCGTAATAGAGATGATATAAAATATACACAGAGAATTTCTGTTAAATGCCCAAAGTGAATGACTAATTAGTGGGCATTTTTATATTTTTCATTTAAATCCTTGAGATTTATACTCACAGATGTACAGTAATTACCAACATTTTTTGGAATATTCAATAAGCCATTACTGATCCCCCACCCCTCTAACAGTCTATTCTGCACGTATGGTAACAGACTTCCTGGTCAACCTCTTTTACAAGTCATACCTTTTTAACATATGGAAAAAGTCTAAGAACTTACAAGAACTTGGTATAACTATTAGACTATATATATATATATATATATATTTTTTTTTTTAAATAAAGATGGGGTTTCACCATGTTGGTCAGGCTGGTCTTGAACTCCCGACCTCAGGTGATCCGCCCGCCTTGGCCTCCAAAGTGCTTGGATTACAGGCGTGAGCCACCACACCCAGCCTAGACTACATCTTTAAACAGACTGTGACATACTTTAAAGCTCGGCCGGGTGTGATGGCTCACGCCTGTAATCTCAGCACTTTGGGAGGCCGAGGTGGGCAGATGATCTGAGGTCGGGAGTTCGAGACCAGCCTAGCCAACATGATGAAACCCCATCTCTACTAAAAATACAAAAATTAGCTTGGCGTGGTGGTGGGCACCTGTAATCCCAGCTACTTGGGAGGTTGAGAGAGGAGAATCACTTGAAGGCAGGAGGTGAAGGTGGCAGTGAAAAACAAAAGCTGATACTAACATAATTTGCACAAAATACTTAATAATCACTCTCAATACTATACTTTCGGAATACTATTTACAATTTTGAAATATGATATTTTATCATTAGAATTTGATTTCTGTCTCAGCAAGAGTTTACATTTCATCCACTGATCACTCCATAGCCCACTGTGCCCAGTAACATTACCTGAGTTGATGTACTCTGCAAAGTCTGTTGTTGTATCATGTGCTGAGTTGTGCCAATATGTCCAGTATTCATTCCACTTTGAATCTGGTTAGAAGGAACAACCTGGCCTTGCATGTTTATAGGTGCAAGTTGCTGGATGTTAGATGAATTTCCAGAAGAAAGTTGAACAGAACTAAAATTCAACCCAGGATTTGACTGTTGCAAAAACATCTTTAAAAATAAAGATTATGTTAAAATAAGCTTTGTAGACTGAAAAGAAAGAATAATGAGAGCATTAAAAAGAAGGCAAAATCAAGCTACAAAGTAAGTTTAAAAAGCAAGTAACAAGATTAAATCACTTTGAAGAATTAGCATTAAATAATTAGTGAACAAAACATGAAGCTTCATATTCAATCTTCAGTTATCTTAATTTTATCATGTTTCCAATCGTTAGAAAAAGTATAACTCAGTGCTACTTAGTCTGTGGACTGGCAGCTTTGCATCACTTATGATTTATAATTTATAACCTTAGAAGTAGTTTTCACTCCAAGTTTCCCTTTACCAAAGTAGTCATTGTCTCCTAGAGTGGTCCTGCTGGTTGGTCATATAGGACTAATTTGAATCATACCAACTGGTATCTTAATAAAAATATTACTGATGATTGATTTATAAATTCTGTACCCAAGATGTACCTAAAACTTTATTTAAAATATGATTTTTATATTATGAATTCAAACTTACTACAATTTGTGGATTGGTTAAAAAAAAATGACTGGAGAAACTAGGATGTTGGTAGAAATACCCTCAGGAATGAATTATCTTTAGAGACTGTAAGCATAATTGTTGGGGTCACTACTTGCCAGGGTCTGTCCCACAGACCTTGACTCAATAATGGATGAATGTTCATTTAGACACAGATCTTCAGTCTAAGAGTGGCTGGGGTGTCTGTGGCCACTCTCAGGCACTTGACGAGTGCTATAAAGAGACAGCAGCAGACAGTCCTGACAGGCTGGCCAGCGTTTATTGAGCACACATTAAATGACAAAGGCTTTGAGTCAACACCACTAGAGGGTAGAGGTTAAAGGCCAGGTTCTGAGGCTTCAAGCAAACACCATTAGTGGGTAATATCTTTGGTTGACCTCCCCATCAAGAGAGCTATCTGGAATGATTAAAGGTTAATTTTAGGATCACATGAGTAAACAAGTTAGGTAAACTCCTTATATTCCTTTGTTTCTACTCTAATTTATTTAACTAAGGGGACAAGGCTGTTTTCAGCCAAGTATTATAGTGAAAACTTTTAGGTCTTCCAAAAAGGTTTGTGTATATTCTCTATAACTAAAGTTTCACCCACCAGCCTGACTGAATCCTTACACATAATCATACTTAGTAGGTAACCAGTGAATATTTATTGAACAGAATTGATAAAACTTATCTCTTGCATCTCACTTTTAATTAAGAAAAGTTAATTTTCCTAAAAGTCCAAAATATGAATGAGATGCTTGCTTTGTATTCAAATATAACAATTACCTGCAGCCCCTGACCATGGACCATCTGAAGCTGTTCTTGAATTTTCCTTAATTCTTCTTGTTGCCGATGAATATTTGCTTCTATCATGCGTGTCCGTTGTTCCAGTTGGTCTTTCAGATGCTGCATGGCTCCTAATTGAGCTGAAAACTGAAACTAAAGTACCACATATGGAAAAAGCATAACATACTTTAGAATTACTTACTCCTTATAATTGTGCAACGTGAAAAGTAAGCAGTGTAACAGGAGTTAAGAATGTTATGCCAGTTAAGCCTCTTAGTTCCTAATCTACCCACCTTTGCTCTGCTTTGTGATATTGGACCTGGACCTTAAAATATTTCTCCTTTGCCAACAGGCACAAAGTTATCCATGTCAGTAGATGGTGCTGGAGGGACACTGCAAAGAAAGGTGCTTAACTCCTGGTTCTGGAGCTTTTCCTACTTGCTCTCATGTTGGGATACGAGTGGGAAGCTTCCCAATTAGGCTTGTTGGCTCCGTAGCCAGCAGCTTTCCAGCAAGTCTCAATGACATCCTAGTGGGCAGCTTCCCTCCAAGCTTTACCAGTACCCCAGCTGATGGTTTCCAGCTCTCTAGCTCTAATTTGTGGCATGTCAGTGAACTTCTCTATTATCCAATTGTTATAGACACATCTGCCCCAAGAAGATCTGCATCTCAGCTTGGCATGGGGGAAGACGAGGTGAGGAGGTTAGGAGCTTATGGGGAGTCTTCTAAGAATGTTTCTTCCTTGGGTACTCTCCGTCTGCCTTAGTTAGTGGCTGCTCTCTGCATCTGATAATTCTATATTCTTTTTTTTTTTTTTTTGAGACGGCATCTTGCTCTGTCACCCAGGCTGGAGAGCAGTGGTGCGATCATGGCTCACTGCAGCCTTGACCTTCTGGGTTCAAGAGATACTCCCATCTCAGCCTCCCCAGTGGCTGGGACTACAAGCATGCATCACCACACCTAGCAAATTTAAATATAAATATTTTTATAGAAATAGGGTCTTGCTATGTTGCCCATGCTGGTCTTGAACTCTGGATCAAGCAGTCCTCCTACCTTGGCCTTTCAAAGTGCTGAGAATATAGGCATGAGCCACCACACCCAGCCTTATTCCTAAATTCTTTAAGTTCTCTTTACTTCTTTTAGGAGTTAATCCCTGTTGCCAGTTAATAATTTTTTATATTATTCCTATTCAAATTTCTGATATGCTTCTGGTTTCTCAGTGGATCTGGACTGATTACACACACCCTGGATTTACAAGACCTGAGCTCATATTGTGGTTACCAGTTACTGGAAAAAATTATTTAACTTTTTTTTTTTTTTTTGAGACAGCGTCACCCAGGCTGGAATTCAGTGATATGATCATGGCTCACTGCAGCCTCAACCACCCAGGCTCAAGCATTCCTCTCACTTCAACTTCCCAAGTGGCTGGGACTGCAGGCATGTCTCACCATGCCCAGCTAATTGTTTTTTTAAGAGATGGGGTCTCATGATGTTGTCCAGTCTGCTGTTGAACTCCTGAGCTCAGACAGTCCTCCCATAAGCCACCATGCCCAGACTTATTTAACTTCTTAGCTTCATTTTTACCCCTTAACAAAGGAAAAAGGAGTCTGCACCTGGAGTTAATTCCTATCAATTTCTGTCATCCCTAGAATGTCCTCTATGTGTACATGAGTAGAAGCACCCAAAGTTGTAAAAATCTGACAGATAAGCAATAACAATATTTTCACTTCAATGGAAACTATCCTCAGACAAGTACAGAACATGAACCTTTTTTTTTTTTTTTTTTTCCCAGGTGCTCTGTCCCAGGGATTTAGGGCTTTACAATGCATTTTTCTGGTTCTGTCTTCATTCTTTTTGGACTTCCACCTGGCAACTTTCATTTAACAGAACATGAACTTTTACAGACTACACAAGTACGAATGAGTAAACGCATACAGGAATGAAAACAAAATTATGTTTTCAATCTTACTTATTTCTCTGTTTTACTTGAGTCATGAGCAGCTCCTATTTTCTTCTGCTTATAATTTAGCCACATTTGGTGATTCATCTCTTAAGTCTATACAGGCTCTTTAATTATTCCCATGAATTTTCAGTGTATGATATAGTATAAGAGCAGAGTCACTTTACTGGAAATCTGTCTTAAAGTAGCCTCTTACAGCGAACTGTATGTAAAAGTGAGAAATGTCCTTCCTATCCAAAGATTTTTAACTCTCTCTTCAATAGTTGGTATTTAGGATACTGCATTACATTTCAAAGCACACAACTCTGACCTCAGAAATTAACAATAACCAGACCATAACATATATTAAATTATACTAGGTTTGAGAAAATATTAAAAATTTAGTACTTCAACTCCCTCAAGCCTTTTTTTTTTTTTTTTTTTTTTAGTCAAAATGTTATATTTATGGCCAGGCATGGCGGCTCACAGGTGTAATCCCAGGACTTTGGGAGGCCGAGGCAGGTAGAATGGTTGAGTCCAGGAGTTTGACACCAGCCTGATCAACACGGCAAAACGCTGTCTCCACTAAAAATATAAAAATTAGCCAGGTTTGGTGGCGTACACCTGTAGTCCTAGCTACTTGGGAGGCTGAGGCAGGAGGATCACCTGAGTCCAGCAAGCAGAGGTTGCAGTGAGCTGATATTGCGCCACTGCACTCCAGCCTAGGTGACAGGGTGAGATCCTGTCTCAAAAAATCAAGATAAAGTGACATTTATGTCATACAAATGTATTTTATTATAACTAAAGTTATTTGTTCCTTTGGGTAAGCATTATATTGCTATAACTTAGAGGATTTCTTTTTTTTTTTTTTTGAGACAGAGTTTCGCTCTTGTTACCCAGGCTGGAGTGCAATGGCGCGATCTCGGCTCACCGCAACCTCCGCCTCCTGGGTTCAGGCAATTCTCCTGCCTCAGCCTCCTGAGTAGCTGGGACTACAGGCACGCGCCACCATGCCCAGCTAATGTTTTGTAGTTGTAGTAGAGACGGGGTTTCACCATGTTGACCAGGATGGTCTCGATCTCTTGACCTCGTGATCCACCCGCCTTGGCCTCCCAAAGTGCTGGGATTACAGGCTTGAGCCACCGCGCCCGGCCAACTTAGAGGATTTCTATCAAATACAAAAAGGAAATAGTAAACACAGAAGGCAGAATAACAGGAAGTAAAATCACAGAACTAAGAGGCAAAACATTTCGCTTTATTAGTGAATAAAATGTGAGATATGAATACTTGCTAACATTTTTGACAGTATATATCCTTTATTTCATGAAAATATCCCTATAAAATGTTAAGAAATGCTTTAGAATCTTGAGATTAAAGACTAGTAACATAGAAAGTATCTAACTCTTATCATAGTTATATATGTATGACTTAACCATATAAGATAGAGCTATTTTAGGCCGGGCGCGGTGGCTCAAGCCTGTAATCCCAGCACTTTGGGAGGCCGAGGCGCGTGGATCACGAGGTCAAGAGACCGAGACCATCTTGGTCAACATGGTGAAACCCCGTCTCTACTAAAAATACAAAAAATTAGCTGGGCATGGTGGCGCGTGCCTGTAATCCCAGCTATTCAGGAGGCTGAGGCAGAAGAATTGCCTGAACCCAGGAGGCAGAGGTTGCGGTGAGCCGAGATCGCGCCATTGCACTCCAGCCTGGGTAACAAGAGCAAAACTCCGTCTCAATTAAAAAAAAAAAAAAAAAAAAAAAGAGAGCTATTTTTTAAAAAATGCTGTTTTTACCTGTTATTAATGATCATTCCTTAAAATCAAGATACTGCTAAGTTAACGTATATTTAATGCCATACAAGGCAAAAAAGTTGAAGAAAAACACTACTTCTCTGTGGTATTTTTAATTATATTTGAGGCACCGAATGAGTACAGAGTCATACATTACAAGTTGGGAAGTTAGGCTACAAAGTAAGAGTGTCACTTTTGGAATTACTTCCCCTTTTTTGGCTACTTTCCACATTTAGGCCTCCTTAGGACAGGAAACAATTCTAGAAAGTCTTCCTTCACTTCCTCAGGTTGCATTAAGGATTCATGCAATGTGCTTACATATCAGTTTATATACCTTCAGCACAGGCAATATAACGTGGTATTGTAGGTATGGTAGGTATTTGTCATTCCCTCTAGATGTGATGATTTTTTAGTACAGATATTTGTATTTGTACTATCAGCATCTGCAGTGCCTGTTACACACAAGAAACTCAATAAATATCGAATGAATGAATGAATATACAAATAAAGTTACTTAATTCTTCCAATATTCATAGGAAGGACAAAATGAATGACTACATTTCATCTTTAATATCTTTATGTCTACAGTATTTCTCAATGAGGGAATGTTATGGCATATTAAGCCGGACAATTCTTTGGGGTGCAAGACTGTCATGCATCCTGAAAGACATTTAGCATACCTAGACCATGCTCACTAAGGGCCAGTGATACCCCACAATCATTATGAAAATCAAAAATGTCCCCAGATATCCTAAATAGCCCCAATTAAGATTCACTGCATCTGTAACTATAATTATATATGTGTGTGCATGTATTTTATTTTTTTAAGAGACACTATCTTGCTATACTGCCCAGGCTGGCATTGAATTCCTGAGCTCAAGCAATCCTCCTACCTCGGCCTCCCAAGCAGCTGCAGCTACAGGTGCTTGCAAACAACCTGGATTTTTAAAAATTACATCAGCTTAAAAGCAATTTATCATTTTTAAATATGCAACTGAAACAACAAACAAAATATACCTGGGACATGCCTTGTGGAATTGGTAAATTTGTAGCTTGAGACATCACTGGCTGTGTTAATGATGAACCAACAGACTGGGAATTTATGGACTAGAGCAAAATAAAAAATAACACTGAAGTGATTCTCATTCCCATACATGAGTACTTCTAGCAGAAATATCAGTATGATATTTGTATTAATGAACTTACCATTTTGCTTATACTTTTGTTAGCTGAATACAGCTATGTCTTCCCTTCTATACTGGAAAGGCCTGTTCCCTATTTATCTTTTATTTTCCAAGGAACTTTCTACAGTACCTTGCACAAGCTCTCAATAAAAGTTGGCCAGACTTGAGACAATTGGTATTTGAACTTAGACATAAAACAGCTATCAATTATGAGCTTTTCACAATTTAAAAAAAAAAAAGCTAACATTTTACTTGAAAATTAATTAAAAGGACTGATATATATGACAACCACTTCATACAAAAAAAGGACGTCTTGAATGTCACGTATCAGTACTATTTTGATCTTCATAAAGAGGGGTAACAAATCAATGAATTTCTGAAGATTTAGATCATTTCTCCCCTCTTAATAAATCTTTATTCAGAAGAATATCTACTAAAGAACTTACCTGACTACTAAACGATGACCTTCTTTGCACCATCTTCTCATGAGCTGGTAAATGCTGCCTGGGTGGAGTGCTCGTATCTGTCGGGATCTTGGTTGGTGTTGCTGAAATCAGTCAACAAAATCAAAAGAGCATTCGTACTTTATAAAATAAGGTTTTTATAGATTTATCTCAAAATGTATTTCAGTTTATAAAAATGGCTTTTGAATTATCTTTCAAACCATTCAATGAAAGTGAAGTCCATGTCAGATGAGTCAATGTAGTTACTTCTTTTTATGAGCACAAAGAAAATATTTCAAATAGGAAAACTTTAAAAAGTTACTAATTTAATGACAATTATACAAGTCATCATAAAGACAAGGCACTAAAAAAACTTTCAAAAAGCAAACCTAAGAACACTTGCCCTACCCTAGAAAACACGATAAATAGTTGCCTTTCTTTTTGAGGGATGATTAAAACACCACCACTACCATTACCACCTACACATTTTAATAGGCTACGTGAAGAACTTAATTCTTTGCTACAAGTGAGCAATGTGCCTGTAACCCACTGGAAAGGTTACTACATTTCAGAAATGTAAAATGGTATAATTTTAAAGAAGCATTAGATGAGAAATGCTGATGTAAGTAACTAATAGTTTAGTTAGTTACTTTAAAGTCTACTTTCAAGCAAGAATACTCACAGGAAGGGTCTGAGACTGCTGTGTGAGATGATTTTCTTGAGCTCCGAGAAGAAGCAGAAGGGGTTGGGCTGTGATCAAACCTTTCCAATGCTTCCTTCAGACTGACTGTGTTTATACGATTATCTGACCCAGAATCTTGGCTCTAAGGAGACAGAGTAAAATAAATGTTTTCTTGTGGTTCAGTTCAGAGATCTCAGATTCGCAATACTGTTAACAACAACAAAAAATCAGTTTTTATCTATAACAAGGCAAAAGTATCTGTGTGTACACACACATGTAAAGAAATGAAAATTTATGTGTTACAGCCAGAAAGTTTTGCCTTCATTTTCTATTTAAAGAAACAGAAAATGAATGAAGTTGGAATCTCTTACACCATATACAAAAATTAACTAAAAGCCAGGCATGGTGGCTCATGCCTGTAATCCCAGCACTTTGGGAGGCTGAGGTGGGCGGATCACCTGAGGTAAGGAGTTCGAGACAAGCATGACCAACATGGTGAAACCCTTTCTCTACTAAAAATACAAAAATTAGCCAGGCGTAGTGGCAGGCGCCTGTGATCCCAGCAACGCAGGCGGCTGAGGCAGGAGAATCTCCTGAATCCAGGAGGCAGAGGTTGCAGTGAGTCGAGATCCCACCACTGCACTATAGCCTGGGCAAAAGAGCAAGACTCCATCTCAATTAAAATAACAAAAAAATTAACTCGAAATGAGTCACAGACCTAAACGTTAAGAGTTAAAACTACATTAGCTCTTAGAAGAATACACGGGGGAGAAAGCCAGGTGAATGCCTGCACTGCCAGCTACCTAGGAGGCTGAGGTAAGAGAATGGCTTAAGCCCAGGAGCTAGAGTCTGGTTTCATATGGTGACACTAATCTTTCCCATCACCAATGTTTCTTTCTCCAACAGCTCATTGTCATCAGTACACAAGCATGCTGTTATTTCTCTCAAAAAAAAAGGGCATGCCGGGAGTGGTGGCTCAAGCCTGTAATCCCAGCACTTTGGGAGGCCGAGGCGGGTGGATCACGAGGTCAAGAGATCGAGGCCATCCTGGTCAACATGGTGAAACCCCGTCTCTACTAAAAATACAAAACATTAGCTGGGCACGGTGGCGCGTGCCTGTAATCCCAGCTACTCAGGAGGTTGAGGCAGGAGAA